AGATGAACCACAACTCCTTTTGTTTCCTAAGGTCAGCTGATCATGGCAGCCATCTTGAATTGGGTTGAGTCCAAAATTTTTCATGAGAAATGACGAACATACACAGACAAAAATATTATCACACCTCTTTTTATCTTCAGGGGTTTGACAGTAACAACCAAAACTAAATCTCTTACCTCACATCTCTGGTTTATCAGAGAAAAACATCTTGAATAATAAAACCAAAGCAGGTTATACGAGCTCAGGTTGGAATCTGTTTCTGAGTTATATGAAACCCTCGTGTCAGAGTGGTTAGAGTCACTTCAGGGTTGAGGACAGCAGCTGGTCAGGTGTGACTGAATGATGAGTCTGTAGAAGCCACGTGCCTGAAACATTAACATTTCAGACACACCAGTGGGATCAGAAACTCCCACCTGTCTCAAACAAAAAGTTATTTTCACAGGAAATGGCCGGCTCTGTTCCATCAGACTTCCCATGTATCAATATATTGGATGCATTTTTGGATTATTATCTTAGAGGAAAGCATCCTCACTACTTTTAATATGAGAGTTTTAATCTAAAATGATCTGAAGTTGAGGAATGACCATTTTGGTCAAATCTTGTAAATTACATTAAAAGGCATTTCCAAACCTAAACTTTGATTAACATTAGTAAAACTGTCAAAAGGGTTGGATATTTTTTGTATTTGCTGAGTTTGCTTAGCTGGTGGTTCTTGAATCGGGTCAACCCAAAAAGTACTCAGTTGTAGTACAGTCATTACTTTATGAGAGATTCATTTAAATATGTGACCCATCATATCGAAACGAGGATTAAGTCTAAAAGTGGGATGTGTTGCAACGGGCAGATATAGGGTTTTGATTAAAACGTGTGCATCTATTGCATTTTGTCAAAATATAATAAATAAACAATGTGTCATTTGAATCAAATGTCTGAAATATAATTCTAAAAAAAACTTTTTGAAGCACTTTTTTGAGCAGTAGCAACAAAAACTAACTAATTTTGAGAAAAAAATTCTCAAAATTTTGAAAATTTCCCTGCGAGCTAGCATAGTTTTTGATTCTTTCCAGCTGGAAAATCTCAATTTTCAAGTTTTATTTGAGGTTTCCTCTTCATGACATCAAACATTTCTTATCAAAATGACATAAAATTAGGATTCACACCAAATATTAATGTATTGTTGTAACCAACAAGACAAATTAAGTCATATCTCTGGATCTGGTTATATCAGGATGACCCAGGTATCAAAATATACCTTTAAAGCCAGGAATCTGAAAATGTGATTAGGTCATTTTGACCAAATTTGACTTAATCCTCATTTTGATGTGATGGGTCACAAATATTCATGTGAAATTTGCACATTCCTGCCTTTTTTTAAATAGTGTGTGATAAAAATGCAAACAACTTTTGGATCAGCATGAAATAAGCAGGAGCTGCAGCCTTTAAAGGGTTAATGAGATGTTTCATTTTTAGCTTCTGGAAAACAGAACCTTAATATAACAGTTTGTCCAAACACTCCAGACATATGAACCATTACCAAACTATATTAACTATGTTACAGATTTGTCCTGATGCATCTCAGTAATCCAGGTAAAAAATACAAAGGAAAAAAAATTGTATAGGTCCTCTGGACGGGTTCTTCTCTAATGAAACGTTTCGTCTCTCCTCCAAGAGACTTCTTCAGTCTGAGAGTTTCAGGCAAAATTCAGGCTTTTAAGCACCATCTGCTCTGTGACGATGTCCCTACAAACCCAGGAGCCAGGGAGAAAGAGAAATCACACACACGACAGGCCCTGGAGCAGTGTGGTTATCCTGACTGGGCTTTCCTGAAAGCAGACAGGAAACACAGACAGGATTCCATGCAACCTTCAGGTGAAAATGAAGACCCCAAACTAGGGGTGTCCCGATACCAGTTTTTTCAAGACTGAGTACAAATACGAGTACTTGAGTTTGGGTACTCGCCGATAC